CCCTCTGTGGCCATCCCCCCCCGTGACCATCCCCCCTCCGTGGCCATCTCCCCTCCGTGGCCATCTCCCCCCTCTGTGGCCATCCCCCTTCTGTGGCTATCCCCCCTCTGTGATGTGCGGTGCCTGGCAGGTGCCTGAGAGGAAGCTCCAACTCTGGGACTCCTGAAGAGCAGCCCATGGGGGCCCAGAACCGTGCCAAGACAGCGCTCCCGCAAACCCTGGCCTGGAAGCCTCCCGCAGTGCCTGGCCTGGAGCATGGACCCCACGTCAGCTGAGTGACCGAGTGACATGAGGCTACAACGAGACACCAGTGCGCAACCACTGGCTTTTTAGAAAAGAATTATTTCATCAAGTTTATTTGAAAGGCAGCATTCAGAGAGAAAGATCTTCCATCTGCTGGCTCACTCTAACACTCCCAAAAATCGGGTCCATTCCAGGCAAAAGCCGGGAGCCCAGAACTCAGGCAGCGCCTCCCCCGTGGGTGCTTGGCCGCCCGCCCTCGCTGGCACAGCAGCAGGGAGCTGTTGGGGGAAGTCGGGCAGCTGGGCCCCACGTGGAACGCCAGGCTCCAGGCTTCTGCCTGACCCAGTCCCATCCGCTGCGGCTCTGGGCAGGGAACTAAGGGACGGTCTCTCTCTCTGCCGCCTTCTCCTCGTCTCTGTAACTGCCTTTTATATAATAAATACATCTTCAAAAAATTGCTTCCGGTCCACATTAGCAAAATCCTGTGTTGAAGGAACTGGGGGCATGGGCAGAGCTGGAGACACAGGGCACCAGCGCCCCAAGAGCCACGCGAGAGGAAGGCAGCCGGGCCAGCACGCAGTGACCACTGCAGGTCTGTGGCATGGACGTGCAGTGTGGGCCGCGCTGTGGTGGCCAAAGGAGTGCACCTCCAGGCGTAGCACCACACCCGGGCCCTCACACCACACGCCGGGGTCCAGCCCTGTCTCTGACACGGCATCAAGGCCTCACGGGCCAGGTACAGCTGCCATCCCACCATCCCTCGTCTCCGTGTGGCACACACTCCCTGAGCCCTGACCTGGCTGGCTCCCCCGTAGCATTAGAGCGCCCCTTCCTGCCAGCCTGGATTACCCCTGTCTGTTGGCAGGTGGGGGTGTGCACAGCAGGGGTGCGACCCATGGGCTGCTGGGAGGGGGCTCCCGGACCTTTGTGGGGCGCTGACAGGTGCTGAAGGGGTCCCTGAATGTCCTGTGGGCCTGCAGCCTCTCCAGCTGGTGAACCTGTGCCTTGCAGACAAAGCTACTCACATACAAACACGACACTTGTCAGAGTCGCTCCCTATAACCCATCAGCTTCAAACAAATTCCAAATTTCAAAACACACAGCACCCCCAAAACTCACTCCCTGGATTGGACTGCTTTAACCAGTGGGCAGCAAGTCTAGAAAAGTCCCGTGTTGGACGGTCTGTCAGAAAGTTTACTCTTGATTCGGTGGAAGAAGGGAGAAGTGACACATGCCCAGAACCAGCCAGCAAGAACCGAAAGTGCTAGGAGGAAGTAGTGACACTTCCCAGAACGGATGCCTGACCTGAGGTCTGGCTGGGACCCCGCGAGGGGTGAGCAAGCCCCATCCACAGCACCCAGGTCCAGGAGTGTGCGGCCCGCGCCCTGCACCCAGCTCCAGGAGGGGACGGCCCGCGCCCTGCGCCCAGCTCCAGAAAGGGACGACCACACCTCTCCGTGCCCCTGCGCCCAGCTCCGGGAGGGGACAGCCCGCGCCCTGTGCCCAGCTCCGGGAGGGGACAGCCCGCGCCCTGTGCCCAGCTCCAGGAGGGGACGACCACACCTCTCCGTGCCCCTGCGCCCAGCTCCGGGAAGGGACGCCCCTGTGTGCGTGTCCTGCAGACACCAAGCATGCCGATCCTGCTGGAACAGCCCAGTGCAGTGTGTCACTCCCACATGCCATCACGCCAGCCCCGCTCACGGTTGGCAGTCACAACCTGGCAACTGCTGATCTCACCACGGTCACATGAGCCCCAAGACGATAGGCGTGGGTGCTGTTCCCTCCTGCACCACGGAGGCAGCCCCTTCTGCCACGGCTCCCCACCAGCCACTTCCTTCCACGCTCCCACAGACGCCGCAGGACAGGCCTTTAGAAGGGCCTGCCAGCGGGCTGAGGGCCCCAACCAGCCCACTCCTTCACCGGGGAGAGGCTGCAGTTGGCCCAGGCTCCTGCTGCTCCCGCCCTTCACCGTGGGGAGATGGCAAGGGTGAGGCCAAATCTAGAATTCCAGAAGGGTGGAGGGCAGGGAGGACAGAGGCATGATGCCAGCCAAAAGGAGACAGGGTGAGCAGCTGCCAGCTGAGGGAGGGGTGTCCAGGAGTGAAGCTCATAGCAGTGTGGGAGGCGGAGGGGCCGGGGACCACACTTGCCCCTGAGGCCCAAGACAAGGGAGTGGACTGTCTCCCAAGAGCCAGTCAGGGACACAGAGAGGCCACCCCTGTGGGCCCAGGGCTCCATGCTCATTTAATGCCACAACTGGCTGCTAAAAAGCAGGTCAGTAGCTCAGTGAGTGGAACTGCCACCTTTACAGCCAACAGTCCACATGGTACCAGCTCAGACCCAGTCGCAGCACTGGTGATGTGCCTGGGAAAGAAGCAGAGGGTGACCCAAGCATCAGGCGTCCACTCCCACGCGGGAGGCTCCGGGGCTTCGGCCTGGTCCAGCCCCACCTTGAGACCATTTGAAGAATGGCCCAGCAGAAAGAAGGTAACTCCCCCTTGCACAACTCTACCTTTCAAATAAATAAGTCTTTATTTTTTGTGTGGGGGTGCACATTCAGCCCACCCAGCAGTTCACACGCATGTGGCATGCCGGCACTCTGCATCAGAACGCCCAGGTCTGAGTCTCTCTGCCAACAAGGACCCTGAGAGGCAGCAGGAAGTGGCACACAGGGCAAGCCGTCACCAGCCGTGGAGGAGCTCGGAGCACATCCGAGTCAGGAGATGAAAGATCTCTCTCTCAAAGAAGTTCTAAAAGCTGTGAGAACAGAGGGGCAGTTAGGCAAGCTGCTGAGGCCCCGGCCCGACATCCCAGCGTCTGGCTCCGATTCCAGCTGCCAATCAGCTGCCCACCGCTGCAGAGCCAGCGAGGCAGGGCCGATGTCGGTGCCCGCCCTCCGTGGGAGATCGGCATGGAGCTCCTGGCCCGGGCCTGGCACGGTCCCCACTGTGGGCACTTGAGGAGTGACCCAGGGGCGCAAGCAGGCTCTGCCTCTGTGCTTCTGTCCTCTCAGACAGCCTCGGGGAGCAAAACAACCGAGCACCCACCCCTTGCCTCAGCCCCGTGTCACTTCTTCAGGGCACAGTGCCTGGGAAAGCCGGCCTTGCTGGGCACCAAACCCCTCAGCACCTCAAGGGCCACCGGCAGCAGGCGTAACCAGGCTCACAGGATAGAACCGGGCCACTTCACTGACAGCCACTGCTCACTATACTGTGGGGGTGACACGATGTGCCTGCTGGGGGCCAGCGCTGAACCCCGGCCCCTACGGGACACCTGCCCCTGCTGGGGGCCAGCGCTGAACCCCGGCCCCAACGGGACACCTGCCCCTGCTGGGGGCCAGCGCTGAACCCCGGCCCCAACGGGACACCTGCCCCAGTCATCAGCCGCCAACACTCCATGGCTGTTTCTTACCGTTACAGGTTATCTTAAGGAATCTGTACAACTATACAAGTTGGCGAGTCTGAAGAGGAGGACAGGTTGGAACCTCACTCGGCATCTGACGTCACAGCCATTTCTCCAAATGCCTGTTGGCTTTCGTCTTTGAAAGGCAGAGACAGAATGGCCTCTGTCCATTGGCTCATTCCGCTGCAGCAGCTGAGGCTGTCCTGCCAAACTCCCAGGGCACTGCCACAGCGGCGGGCCTCACCGGGGCGGCCTCCTGGGGCTGCCTGGCAGGAGGCCGCAGTGCCAGGACGAGCAGCCAGGATGCAGAGGCAGGGCGTGGGTGCCCACAGCGCCCCAAGCACCCACTCCCGAGGCAGACCAACCCCAAGGCCTTCTGCTCCGGCACGTGTCAGCTGGCTGGACAAGGGCCACCCCCAGGACTCGACACCCCTGAGCCCACATCTACAACCTTGCCCGCAACGTCCAGACCCTCATCAGCCCTAACACCTGGCACCACGGTCCAGTGCGGGAAGTGTCTCCGCCATGATGGGACCCACCGGGCCGAGCGGTGCTGGAGGGAAGCCCAGCTGAGACGCCGTGCAGACAGGCGGCAAGGCAGAGGTGGGCGAGGTGTCAGACCCCATTGTGAGGTCTGAGTAGAATGTAGGTCTCAGGCTGAAGCCCGCCTCAGCTGATCTGCCCCGCTGGGCCCAACCCCCCAGCACACGGCAGCCCCTGACTCCCACAGTGTCCCCCGTGGCCAGCTCCGGTGAGAGGAGGTCCAAGTTCCAGGAACCAGAGAAGAAACGCCACCTTGGCTTCTAGGACTAAAGACAGGGACTCCAGGAGCCGCCAGGGATGTAGAAGCAGAGAGACCGAGCCGCCAGGACGAGCAGGCCAGGACGCAGCAAGTCCACCACGTGGGGAGGCCACCCACGGCCAGCAGCCCCAGGCTGACCCTGGGCACCAGGGGCCAGAGGAAGACAACCCGCAGTGAGGCACTGCCCTTGGCAGCCACAGCATGAGGAAGAGGCGCATCTGGCAGGAGTCAGGGCGGTGCAGCTCCCCGCCGACACCTGCAGCCCCTCTGTCCACGCGCTGCTCACGCAGGATTCCGCCGAGTGCGGCACCGGCCAGGTGGGCTGCGCAAGGCCGGAGCGCAGCAGCGAGCTCTGCTGGCCATGTCCCCCAGCCGTGGCCTGAGTCTGGCAGGACAGAGGGCAGAGAGCAGGGCACAGCTCTGACCTCACAATACCAAGTCCGCTGGGCCAGCCTTGCAGACTGGCGCCCTCTTCCAGCCCGGGCAAGGCCCGGGGCCCTGGGCAGCCTGAGGTGCCCTCCGGAGGGCCGCACCCCTCCCGCCGGCCCGGGGCATGTCTCTACTCACCAATTACGAGGGGCTGCGGCATCAGATAGAGAGGCTTGTGCGGGAGAATGAGGAGCTCAAGAAGCTGGTGCGGCTCATCCGGGAGAACCACGAGCTCAGATCGGCCCTCAAGACCCAGGCTGGCGGCCTCGGCCTCAGCGGCTTCCCCAGCGGCCTCGGGGAGGCGGTGGCAGGCTCTGCGCCCCGCCAGGGCAACAGTAAGAGCCTGGGGCCAGGAGGGCGGCAGAGGGGGGCCGCGGGGGCTCGGCGGGCAGGGAGCAACCCTCAGACCACTGGCCCCAGCAGGTAGGAGGAGGGCAAGGCCCGGGGCCCGGCCCTTTTGAGCACCCCCGAGGGCAGCATCTGCTCCCCAGCACCCCTAAAGTGAACTACCAAGCAGCCCCCGCCTGCTCCCGTTGCCCTGTCCCCATCCCCCACCCTCTGAGGGCAGGAGACCTCCAGGACCCAAGCTGGCGTTTCACCAGGCCGGGGCGGGTGCCGGGCCCGGCCTGGAGCAGCGACCGAGCTGAGGGTACTCGAGGCCAGGAAGCCGAGGGACGTGGGCGGGCAGCGGGGCAGTGCGATGACAGCCCAAGGAGGACTTCTCACAGCGGCAGGCCCCGTGAGACCCCAACGGGCACAGGGCCAACAGCAGGTGGCGACTGTCCCTCTGCCTCCCTCCCCATGGCACCTTCCTCCTTGCCCGTGGTCCGGAGCCGGCCCAGCCCCTGGGGACCCGCCCTGCCACAAGCCCGGCTTCACCCACCGAGCAGGAGGCCGCCCTGCTCCTGAGGGCACGTCACGCTGCCTTCCCTCCCACACCTGTCCATGGCACGCCTCCAGCATGCCATTCAAGGTCTCTCAAGGCACCAGCTGCCCACGCCCAGAGCTGCCCCCCATTCCTGGGTGCCACAAGCACCCAGCTCCGCAGCATTTTAAACGCTGTGCCAGTAGCGCCATGCTCAGGGCAGCGGGCTGGGCAAGCCCCCACCTCCCATTCCATGCGGGGTTCTCGGGCCCCTTCAGCCTGCACAGCTGCTGCAGCATCAGGCCGAGGGGAGCCCATACAGCTGGGCGGGGGGCACCCCCGGATGGTCCCTCGCCAGCAGTCTGGCCTCAGGAGAAGCCCGGTGGCTGTGGCTCAAGGCTGTGCGTGCGAGCACCGGGGCACGGGGGCGAATGGCACACATCAGGGGCTGAGGTCTGTGTGGCGGCTTTGCGTGTGAGATGGCTGCGGCAGGCCAGCAGGGGCAGGGCCCAGCATGGGGGCAGCATACCGAGGGCCCACGAGAGGGGCTCCTCACAGCGAGAGTCCCGTCTGGGTGTCGGCATGAACTCCAGGGAGAGCAGGCCGAGTCCGCAGGGGTCCCCACCGTCCATGGGGGACAACGAGGGGACAGCAGGTGGAGAGACAAGGCCGTGTGCTTGAACACGAGGGCTGAGGGGGAGTGCAGCCCCCAGCTCCCTGGGGCGGCCCCCGCTCCAGGAGGGGCCCTTGCAGGCGCCTCGCCCCCCTGCTCACCCCCGCCTCACCATGCCTGCTTGCCCTGCCTGCTCCTGAACCAGGCTCCTTCATGGGATCAGGCCAGGAGTTAGGGAAGAGGTGGGGGCAGGGGGTGCTGGCTGAGGAGTTCAAAGTCAAGTTCCCAAGGGCAAGCAAAGAGTAAGAGCCTAACTCCTAAATCGCCCTGGGCCGCCCCTTAGGAGACACCCGCGGGAGCCCACACCCGCGGGAGCCCACGTCTGGGGCGCTGGAGCCTGTGGGTGCGGGCCGCCCCTTAGGAGACACCCGCGGGAGCCCACGTCTGGGGCGCTGGAGCCTGTGGGTGCGGGCCGCCCCTTAGGGGACACCCGCGGGAGCCCACGTCTGGGGCGCTGGAGCCTGTGGGTGCGGGCCGCCCCCTTGGGTCCTCAACCCCCGCATCCCCACCATGCCCACCGTCCCCCTGAGAGGACCCTCCTTCCCCCCTCTGGCCCCTTCCCCTCAGGGCCCCTTCCCCCCACCCCCTTCCCTTCCAAGGGCCCCCTTCCCTACTAGGGCCCCTTTCCCCTGGGGACCCCCTTCCCCTCTGAACCCCCTGCTCCTGCCGGGACCCCGGCCGCCCCACTGCCAGGACCGTTCCTGTCAGGACACCCCCTTTCTCACACTTCAGGACCCTCCCCTCCCTCAGGACATGTGGACACCCTACCCGCCCCTCACTCTTTCCAGACCCCCGCACACCCCACACTCCCACTGGAAGCTTCTGCCCGAGGCCCAGCCCTTCCAGACCCGTGTGGAGAGCCTCAGCCTCGGGCTGCGCCCCGCGCCAGGACCCTCGGTCAGCTGTGTCTGTCCCCGGAGGGCAGAGGGCAAGGCCGGCCGTTGGCTCAGGGCTCGGGTGGGGCGTCGCCAACGGCGGGCCTGGGTGCGAAGTCGGACGGTGGGGTCACATCAACTGTGTTTCCAGGGAAAGCAGGTTGTCTGAGGGAACAAACCCAAGAAGTGACCCTTCCCGGGGCTCTGGCCTTGGCTGAGCTCACAGACCCAAGTCCCCTCAGGAACAATGTGCAGAAGGGCAGCCCCCTGGGGCCGGCGCGGTAGCCTAGTGGCTAAAGTGCTCGCCTTGTATCTGCTGGGATCCCATATGGGCACTGGTTTGTGTCCTGGCCACCCTACTTCCCATCCAGCTCTCTGCTTGTGGCCTGGGAAAGCAGTCGAGATCAGCCCAAAGCCTTGGGACCCTGCACCCGTGGGAGGGACTCAGTGGAGGCTCCTGGCTTCAGATCTGCTCAGCTCTGGCCGTTGCAGCCACGTGGCGAGTGAGCCAGCAGATGGAGGATCGCTGTGTCTCTCCAGAGACAGAGCTTTCCAATAATAAGATAAATCTTTTAAAAAGACCATCCCCATGCCCGTTGCTGTCCATACAGTGAGTGCCCGAGAGACCCCAGACTCCAGTGGGACCCACGCTGACCCACGGCCCTGAGCGGGCTGCAGCCGCCGCCAGGGCTCCCCCTGAGGTGTCAGTTCCTGGTGGGGCACTCCTGCCAGCCACAGGGGAGGGTTCTGGCCGTGTCGCGGCCGCCTGCGGGTTGACCCAACGTGCCTAGGCTGTGCACCTGCCGCTGATTCTCCACCATTTCATCTCAGTGTCACGCATGCGTGCAGTGTGGCCGGAGTCTCTGACCTCACTCCGTGGCCGTGGGCTTCCAGCCGGCTGCACACCCCCGCATGGGCCTGGGACCCTGCTCATAATTAGTGGGTCATGGACGTGTGGGCTTGTTCTGGACACCAGTTCCGACCCACCCTGCGAGGGCAAGCACACAGGGCCGTGTGGGGGCGGGCAGGGGGAGGTGTGGCGAGCCTTCCCCCTCACCCCCCCGTGCAGGGGCGGTCCTCTCCATCGCCTCAAGCTCTTGCCACGAGGCCTGATTTTGTGTCTCTGAGTAGTTATGCTTTCTGATGTGGTCGTAGTTTTAGTTCTTGTTCTAATTTTTGCTTGCAAGGGTGTGGAAGTACATCCATCCCACGTGGTTGCCTCCACAGCTCGTTTACCAGGCCGCTCTGTAAACACCGATACAGCGGCCGGGCACTGTGCCCAGGGACCCAGGTCCCTCTCCAGTGAGGGGACACAAGGCTGGGCCCTACTGTCGGTGGTTGGACAGGGCAGCATGCCAGCAGACAGCACACCCAGGGCGAGCCTCGGCTGCCCAGGAGGCAGACGGGGGACCAGCAGCTCCTGCAGGAGACCAAGACACAGGATGTGCACCCCAAAGCGATGCAGGCCCCGACAGGCAGGGGCCACTCGCCCCAGGACCCCGCCCCACCCCCAGGGGCAAGGACAGCAAGCTGCCCAGGGCAGCAAGGTGAGAGGGTGCTGCTTGACCCTCACCCTGGAACGGTGTGGCCTTCCCAGCGGCAGCTCAGCCCACTGCACCACCCTGCCCGCTTTGCCTCTGGCCGGTCGCCCTCAGGCAGGCACCAGCACACGGTGGTGTGGTCATGTCTCCTGGACCTGAGGATGCCCGCCTCGCCCCCGCCCCACCTCACAGGACAGTGGCCCGTGGCCGCCTTCTCAGGGGCAGCGCCACCTTCTCTCCTGCCAGCTGCTGCCCAGAGGGGTCCCGACTCTTTTTTTTTTTTTTTAAGATTTATTTTTATTATTTTTTCATTGGAAAGGCAGATATACAGAGAGGAGAGACAGAGAGGAAGATCTTCCGTCCGATGATTCACTCCCCAAGTGAGCGCAACGGCCCATGCTATGCTGATCCGAAGCCAGGAGCCTCTTCCGGGTCTCCCACGCAGGTGCAGGTTCCCAAAGCTTTGGGCCGTCCTCGACTGCTTTCCCAGGCCACAGGCAGGGAGCTGGAAGGGAAGCGGGGCTTCTGGGATTAGAACCGGCGCCCATATGGGATCCCAGGCGTGCAAGGCGAGGACCTTAACCACTTGCGCCACCGCGCCGGGCCCGGGGTCCCGACTCTTAGGAGCAAGCCACGGCAGACGTACCATGTGGTCTGGGAGACGCTCGGTGGTCCCTCAGTCCTGTGCCAGTGAATGTGGGACCACCCCACATGGGGCCTCTCGTATTGGGGTTCAGGGAGGCGCACCGATGTGAAGGTACAGCCTGGATCTCCACCCAAACACTGTCCCTGCACATTGTGCTGCCAGATCATGGGGCTGCACTGTGCCGAGCTGTGAGCCAGGTCAGGCGGCTGTGACCCAGGCCACACAGACTCCTGGGCTTCTCCCTGTGACCTGCCCAGTAGCTCCCACCCCTCACACAGCTGTCTTCCTACAGACGCATGTCTGGCTCAGGGACCACACTGCCCACTGCAGGGCAGCCAGGGGCACAGCCACTGGACTGTGGGTGGCTCAGCCTGGTACACTTATTATGCCCCACCCCAGGCCCCACTGCTCCGGGACTTCTAGAGGTCAGGCAGGCCAGGGAGAGGCTGGGGCGGCTGGGGCGGCTGGGGCGGGACTGGTGCTCCTGGCCGGGCTCACCTGGCGCCTTCTCCCGTTGCCCCTCAGATGTCTTCCTGCCCACGGCCACAGCGACAGCCAAGGAACCCACGCTGGAGGAGATGGGGATCACGCCCCTGACGCCCCTGGCCGACATGCTGGGAAGCCCACAGCCTGGAATGAGCCCCCTGGGCACCCTGCTGCCCGGCCCCACCCCAGCGATGCAGAGCAGCCCCATCTCTGGCCTCCTGAGTGGGCCACTGCCCAGCCACCTGCCCGGCCACCTAGCACCCTCGAGCACGTTGTCCAACTCCCTGGGCCTGCCTGCCCCTGGCCACCTGGCGGGGTCGGTGGCCGTGCCCTCCATGGGCACGCTGACCGGCTCTTTGGGCATGCTCTCCACCGGCTCGCTGACTCCCAGCAGCCCCCTGGCTGGCCCACTGGCCGTGTCGCAGAGTAGCCCTCTGATGGCATCCATGGGGGGCCCCGTGGCCCTCTCGCTGAGCAGTCCCCTGCTCAGCTCCACAGCTGCCCCCATAGGTGTCCCTCAGAACCTTCTGGCCAGCCCCATGGGCAACCTGGTGCTGTCGGAGGCCCCCAGGGTGCGGGTGGCAGAACCGCTGCGCTCCTCGGGGCCCCAGGCCTCGGCCATCCCTGCGCCCGTGCCCACTCCCAAAGGTAACACAGGGGACTGGGGGTGCGGGGGTGCGGGGGGCCGGGAGGGGGCTGGCTGCGCTCCCCGCCCTCATCCTCACCCCTCCTCTCCAGAGCACGCCCGGATGTCCCAGGATCCAGAGCCCCCCGGCGTGATGTTCGCGGATGCCCCCCTCCAGTCCTCCACCCCCGCAGGCGCCGCGGCCTTTGCGCATGGCACCTCAGACCGGGCCCAGCCCGGGGCCCCCCAGGCACAGGCGGTCCCCGCCGCTTCTGCCCCGCAGTCCCCCCCGGGCTACGGCTCCGCCAGCGCCGCGCCCTCCCAGCCCCCCAGCCACCCGCAGGCCTCGCCCGGCCCCCACTCAACCCCACGCAACTCGCAGCCCTCCCCGCCGCGCACCGTGTCCTCCCCGGCCTCGGTCAGCGACACCCGGGGCTCGCGCTCCTCGGAGGCGTCCCGCAAGAGTGTGCTGGAGCTGGATCGGAAGACGACCCACCGCAAGAGCAGCAAGTTCCCGGAGAGCTCCCGAGACGCGCCCCGAGGTCAGTGCCGCGGGGGAGGGCAGGGGCGGCCGGCCCCGGCGGCTGACCAGGCCCCCCGGCGGCTGACCCGGCCCCTGCCACCCCTGCTCCGGCCTCGGCAGAGTCCAAGCAGCTGGCCTGGGAGAGGCTGGTGGGCGAGATCGCCTTCCAGCTGGACCGTAGGATCCTGTCCAGCATCTTTCCGGAGCGCGTGCGCCTCTACGGCTTCACCGTCTCCAACATCCCGGAGAAAATCATCCAGGTGCGGGGCTGCCTTCGCTGCCAGGGCCTGGGACCCCCACACGGGGGACCTCCACACTGGGGACCCCCACACACGGAGGACCCCCACACGGGGGACCTCCACACACAGGGGACCCACACACACACCGGGGGACCCCCACACACGGGGGACCCCCACACACACCTGCAGGGCCTGGGACCCCTAAACACCAGAGGACCCACACACACTGGGGGACCCCCACACACCGAGGACCCCTCCCACACACAGGGGACCCCCACACACCTCCAGGGTCCTGGGGCAGGGACCCCTCCCACACATCTGGGGGGGCTGGGGTGGTGACTCCCTACACACACCTCCAGGGGCTGCTCTGAGGACCCTTCCCACACCTGCAGCTTGGAGGGGTTGGGGGCCCCAGGCATCAGGCAGGGAGGCCTCCAAGCCGGGCCCCACAGCCTCCCTGCAAGCAGACAGCGAGAGCCGGGGCAAGCACCGACAGGCCCAACCTGGGCCTCCCCCTCCCCTGTGGGTCACTGCCCAGAGCCTCCAGCTGGCAGGGGTCGGGTGGGCAGCCCTAGGCATGCACGGACTGCACAGGCTGCCTTGGCAGCCACTGGACATGCTGCAGCGTGCCCACAGGGGCCACTGGGGGACTGCTGTGGGGCTGGGACAGGAGTGAGAGCGTGACGTCCCTGCCTGCAGCCAGCACTGAGCCGGGGTCCTTGGTCATCCTTTCTCGGGGTTGGCACCTGTGGAGGGCAGGCCTCTGCGAGGTCAGCTGTCACGGCGTGGGCTTGGCTTTTCTGGCTAAACCTCACTGAACGGGCTTCTCGTTTTATTCAAAGATGTATATATTTATTTGAAAGCCCCTAACATGGAGAGCTGGACCAGGCCAAGGCCAGGAGTGCAAAGCCCCACCCTCGTCTCCCATGTGGGTGGCAGGAGCCCAGGACTAGGGTGCTGCCGAACGGGAAGCTGGCTGGGAAGGGCTGTGAGTGCCCCGGTCCTCCACCCCAGCCTTCCCCCCCACTGTGCTCCATGTTCACAGGACTCTGCCTTCTTGCAAGGGCTCAGTTGGCGAGTCTCTTAGCTTAACTAGGCCACAGTGCTGGCCAGGTTGTTTTGGATTGGGGCCAGTCCCACGGCACAGCAGGTAGAGTTGCCGCACCAGCACTGTGATTGCCGGCCCAGTCCCGGCTGCTCCAGAGAGGGTGTGAAGCCGAGAGTGACACGGCGGGGCTTGAGGGGATGGGGTGCAGCCCCCACGACGCCCCTACAGTGCAGGCATCCCACATGGAAACACTGCTCCCAGACCTGGCTACTCCACTCCCATCCAGCTCCCTGCTCATGCGCTCGGGGACACAGTGGCATGATGGAACCCGAGCCTGGACCCTGCGTGGGAGACCTGGTTGGAGAGCTGGGGCGATGTGGTCAGGGTGTTGGGGTGATGGGTGTGGGGGCCCTGGAATGTGAGGGATGGAAGCTGACCCCACGCCTTGTCCTAACTCACCACACACATCCGCCTGGGGCAGCGACAAGGCTCTCCCTGGGCCTGGTACTGACCACACACGTGCTGCTCTGAGGTGGTTTCGGTCAACCCTTACACCCCCAGGCCATGACGGGAGCATGTCCACCCTGGGCAGGGGAGGTCCCCTGTGAGCCCCAGAGCCCCAGCAGGCCACCCTGGGCAGAGGGGGTCCCCTGTGAGCCCCAGAGCCCCAGCAGGCCACCCTGGGCAGAGGGGGTCCCCTGTGAGCCCCAGAGCCCCAGCAGACTGCCCTGGGCAGAGGGGGTCCCCTGTGAGCCCCAGCAGGCCACCTGGGCAGGGGAGGTCCCCGTCTCAGCCTGTCAGCTCACTGCCTCAGAGCCCGGCCAGCCGCCGCCACCGCCCATCTGACGGCCAGCCGCCCTGCCCGCAGGCCTCACTGAACCCCACCGACCACAAGCTGGATGAGGAGTTGTGCCAGACGCTCACTCAGCGCTACGTGAGCATCATGAACCGGCTGCAGAGCCTGGGCTACAACGGGCGGGTGCACCCGGCGCTCACGGAGCAGCTGGTCAATGCCTACGGCATCCTGCGGGAGCGGCCCGAGCTGGCCGCCTCCGAGGGCGGCTCCTACACCGTGGACTTCCTGCAGCGGGTGCTGGTGGAGACGGTGCACCCCAGCATGCTCACGGACGCTCTGCTGCTGCTGTCGTGCCTCAACCAGCTGGCACATGACGACGGCAAGCCAATGTTCATCTGGTGATGCCCCCCAGGCAGGACCATTAAAGCTTCCCACAGACACCAAGCCACCAGGCCTCTGCTCTGCCGGGTGGGCTTGCCGCGCAGGCCGCCCCTTCGGCACCCCAGACGTGGGCTGCAGGCACCGATTGGAAGACCCCCAGTCTCCCCCAGCTTGGCCACCAGGAGAGCAGCGGAGGCCCATGAAGTGGCCCATGAAGTTCAGACAGGCACAAACCAGAGGGGCAGAACCACAGCAAGCCCAGGGTGGTGGGCACAGCTGGCGTGCGGGGGCGGGGGCGCTGCAGGACGGTCAAGGCTAGGGCCCCTGGCCCACAGGTGGACAAGGAGAGAAGGGAGGAGCCTCTCTGGGGTCCGGTGAGCATGCGTCAGCAGCCAGCGAGGCGCCCAGGCCCGCCCTGGCTGAGGGGCCCCTGGGCCCTCCGTCATTCCCAAGCTCCAGCAGAGGGCGGGGGCGTCCAGTCAGACCGCTGGGCCGTTGGCCCCCTGGGCACTCCGCGACACACAGCAGGCCGGCCGGTAGAGGCGAGGGTCAGCCCCGACCCAAGCCACCCAGGGCCATTTCAGGCGGATGCGCCATCAGAAAAAGCAGTGGCACAAACCCGAGCTCAGCCGTACCCAAGAGTTCGAGCCCCGTTAGCGCCGGGGCAGCTGGCTTCCGGCCGGCTCGCGAGCCGGCGGCCTTAACGGTCCCGCCCCACGACCGAGTTCCTTGGGGTAGGGTGTCAGGGCCGCACCTCCGCGGCCGCCCTTTGGGGTTCTCTGCGGGGAGCTAGGCGGAGGCTGGACGGTGCCCCTGCGTTGTCTTTGAACCCTGGGGCTACGCGGGCTGGGAAGAGCTGGCGGGGTCGAGGGGTCCGTGGTGCGGCTGATCCGCCAGGACGCTGCGCACACGGCTCTTCCCGCGGGGGTGCTGGGGCCGGCTCGGCTCCTCCGTGGGTGAGGCTCGAAGCGGGGTCCCTTTCTCTCCCTTTGGCTCTCCGCAGCGGGCGCCCCCTCTGCCCTGCGCACATTGCCCTACCAACCCTCTCGCCCAGCGCCGCCCCTCGCGGACGCACCGACGACTCCACGCGCGCAGTTACAGCTTTTGGGGCCTTGCGGCAAAGAAGGCCTGCGCACGCACCATGCAATCCCTACCCGACTGGCCCCCGGCCCCTGACGCCCTGCGGCCCTCGCCCTTCCCGCACCCGGTGCTGCACGCCCTGCACAGCCTGTCCCGCGTGCTGCTCTTCCCAACCTACTGGGCCCTGGACCAGCTGCTGGGCTGCTGCGCTCCCAGGGTGCGCCCCCCGAGGCTGGCGCGGCTGCGCACCGCGGCGGTTGGCTGCGTGGCTCTGGCGCTGCTGCTGCTGCTGGCGCTGGCACTGCCGCTGGCACTGCCAGGCCTGCTACTCTGGCTGCCACTGCAGGCCACACGCCGCCCCTTCTGCTACCAGCCCCCTCCGCGGTCCTGGGCGCCACCCCTGCCCTGGCGCCCTCCCGCCGAGCCCGAGCGCTGCTTCGTCTTCCTGACCGCCAACCTGTGTCTGCTCCCCGACGGGCTGGCGCGCTTCAGCAACTTGCCACACAGCCAGCGGCGCGCAGAGGCCATCCGCGCTGCGCTCCTGGCCGGCCTGCAGTCCTCCGAGGACAGCCGCTGCAGGCAGCCGCAGCCAGGGGCGCCCTGCGGGGTGCTCCAGCCCGTGTTGCCCGCAGGTCTGGACTTCGTGTGCTTGCAGGAGGTGTTTGACGTACGCGCCGGGGGGCGCCTGGTGCACTGCCTGGCGCCCTGTCTCGGCCCTGTGCTGTGTGACGTGGGCACACTAGGCCTGCAGCGAGGCCCCCACCTCAAGTTGCTGGGCAGTGGGCTGCTGCTGGCCTCACGCTACCCACTGTTGCGTGCCTCCTTCCGCTGCTTCCCCAAAGCACGGCGGGAAGACTCCCTAGCCTCCAAGGGATTGCTCTCGGCCCAGGTACTGACCCCAGTGAGCCCAAGGAGCAGCGGGTGCCTGCTTGGCTGAGAGCTGCGAGTGGAGCTGGAACCCAGCGTCCCTGGTGTTGCAGGCGCAACTGGGAGTACTGGACGGGCGCCGCGTTGTTGGCTTCCTGCACTGCACGCACCTGCATGCGCCTACCCGTGAGTCGCACACGAGGCGTCTGGCGCCTGCTCGGCTGCCCCACACCACCCAGAGCGCAAGGGTAAGGCGGGGGGCTCATTCAGGACGCACCCCGCAGAGGACGGGCACCTGCGCTGTGAACAGCTGACGCTGCTGCTGGACTGGGCCGAGCAGTTCGAAGCCGAGAGCCGCCCCGACGAGGCTGTGGCCTTCAGTGTGCTGCTGGGCGACCTCAACTTCGACAACGTGTCCCAAGGTCAGGTGCAGCTGCAGGCCCACCAGGGGCGGGAGCCGGAGGCGCTGCCCCGCCAACCTGACACCCCATCTTTTTCCACCCGCAGACCACGCACGGGAGCAGGAGCACCAGCTCTTCCGCTGCTTCCGGGACCCGTGCCGCCTGGGCACGCGCCAGGAGCAGCCCTGGGCCCTGGGTATCGCGTCCAAGTGCAGGGAGCATGGGGTGGCAGGGCGTGCCAGGCCTCCTAACACCGCCCTCCTGACCTCCACAGGGACCCTACTGAGCACCAGCACACTGCACCACTCAACGGTCAACTCCCCCGTGAGGCTGTGCAGGTGAGTAGCCGCCCAGGCTCCACTGGCTCCCCGCCCCCAGACACAGGGCCTGGTACCCAGCCCTGGTGACCCGCCCCTCCGCCAGGGCCCTGGAGCAGGAGAAAGGCCGGCTGCTCTACCTGGAGGGCCCTCCCAACGGAGGCGCCCGGCCCAGCCCCTGGCAAGGCCGGCGGCTGGACTACATCACCTACCGGCCACAGCCCGAGGGCCCGCTGAGCCCAGTAAGTGCCAGGGAACTTGGGAGCGGACGGGCAGGGGAAGACCCTGCAGCCTGAGTCCCGCCTGCCCACCCGCAGGAGGTGGAGCTGGTGAGCTTCAGCACTGCGCTGGCCGGCCTCACCGACCACCTGGCCGTCGGCCTGCAGCTGCGGGTGTCTGCGCCCGCGTGACCACCGCAATAGACGCACGCGGACAAGCCGGGGAGGCCCGCAGGCGTTTTATTGCCCTTCACACGGCCTCCTGCGCCCGGCGGTACTCGTAGACGCTGCCACGCTCGTGGAAGGTCGTGGGCTGGGGAGGCGAGCCTGGCGGGGCCGCAGGGTCCTCGGGGTCTCCGTAGCCCCCGCCGCCCGGCGTGTGCAGGCAGAACACGTCCTGCGGAGGAGGGGTGCAGGCTCAGCAGGGGCGGGAAGGGCGGTCCCGGACGCCTCCCTGCGCTTGGCTACTTTCCAGGCCCCCAATTAAACCTGGTTTCTGGTAGCCTCCGCGCCTGCATTCCCCCTCCACTGCTAGCATGCCGCACGGGCCACGGCGCTTACCCCGGGGGACACGGCGACCGACGTCTTCCCACCCAGGTTTATGGTGCGGCCGTCCTTGCGGATCAGCAGGTTGAGGCCCCGGGCGCCAGGCTTGCCCCCTGCGGCAGAGGTGAGGCACAGGGCGTCCAGGGAGGCCCGGGCACCACAGAAGAGGGGTCCCCAGGGGCAGGGGAGGGTGGGGCGCACCGTGGAGGCCGTAGGGCTGGAAGGCACGACGCTCGCTCAGCACCGACAGCAGGGCCTCCTCGCGGAACAGCAGCTCGCGGATCACACCATCGCCGCCGCGGAAGCGGCCTCGGCCCCCAGAGCCAGGTCTCAGCTCGAAGCGGCGCAGGATCACGGGGTACCTGTGCACGGCAGGGCGCTCAGCGTGCACGGGGGAGGGGGGCTGTGCGTGGCAGGGCGCTCAGCTCACACTAGGGACCTTGCTGCGGGCTCCCTCCCCGGCCCTGGCCCCCGGCCCCGCCGCTCACCGCCGCTCCAGGATCTCAGGGTCCGTGATGCGTGTGTTGGTCATGTGGCTGTGCACGCCACTGCGTCCGTGCCAGCCAGGACCCGCGCCCGCGCCGCCCGCCACCGTCTCGTAGTAGCCCATGCGAGCGTTGCCCAGCGTCACATTGTTCATGCAGCCCTGGAGGGGCAAGCGCGGGCGCTCGGTACCGTCCCCGCCCACCCCGCACGCTCTCCCGCCCCCGAGCCCCGCAGCCGCGCCCCCAGCGCCCTCCGCACCTGCGACGCAGCGCAGGCCCCGAAGGCCCCGAGGATGACGTCTACCACTCGCTGCGAGGTCAGCACGTTGCCGCCCACCACGGCCGCCTCGGGGGACGGGTCCAGGATGGAGCCCGCGGGGATGACGACGCGGACGGGTGCCAGGCAGCCCTGCGCGGGGGACCGGGCGATGCTCAGGGTCGGGGCGCCCCGAGAGCGCCCCGGAGAGGCGAGCGCGCGCGTACCTGGTTGAGCGGGATGTCGCGGCCCACGAGGCAGCGCAGGCAGTAGATGAGCGCGGACAGCGTGATGGCCCGCGGCGCGTTCAGGTTGCCGAACACCTCGGGCCCGGTGCTGCTGAAGTCGAACACAGCGCTCCCCTGCGCGGCACAAGGCAGGGCACCCAGTCAGCCGGCGGCCAGCCCTCCCTGCCGCGCCCGCCCGTGCCCTCGCGGCCCACCTGGCTCAGGTTGACCTGCACGCGCAGGCGGATGGGGGAGCCATCGTCCATGTGGTCCTCCGCTGACACCTCCAGGGGCAGGCCCTGGGCCTGCCGGGCCGAGCCGAAGGCCCGCAGCATGTCACGCACTGCCAGCTCGGCGTTGGCCTGCGGGAAAGAGGCCTGGGCTGCAGCTGGCGCCCGAACCCACGCCCAGGGCCCAGCGCCCACGCCCAGGGTCTGGCGCACCTGAATGTGTCCCATGTAGGCCTGCACCACGTCCAGGCCGTACTGGCCGATGAGCTCGCCCACCAGCTGGATGCCCTTCTGGTTGGCGGCCACCTGTGCCCGGAGGTCCGACAGGTTGTCATGCAAGTTCCTGGTCCCGCTGCAGCCCGAGATCTTGCCCGGCGCCCGCAGAGCCTCTGTCACAGCTGCACCGAGAGGGTCCCCGCTCAGCCCTTTGAGAACCCAAGCTCACCACCCTGCAGGAGCCCCCATGCCCAGCCAGCCCGGCTGCCATCTGCCAGGCCAGGCTTGCCACAGTGCCTTCACGCCTCAGCCCGGGCTCTGCTCCCTTCACTCGCAGGCCCAGGCCTCCCCCATCCCCACGTGCACACGTCTCCCTGCCAGCTTTGCCCCAGTGCACACACCCCTGGGTGGCTCAGGCTGAAGCCGGCAAAGGCCCTGACCAGTGGGAGCCACACACGTCTCAGGTGGCTGCCACCTGACCCCGACCCTGGGGGCCTCACCTGGGTGTCCTGGCCACCTGACCCCGACCTGGGGGCCTCACCTGGGTGTCCTGGCCACCCATCCACTGCGTCCCCGCCTGCCGCTCACCGTCCTCCTGGAAGACGCCGCCCTGGACCAGCTTGAAGGACAGGAAGACAGCCCCCTCCTGCTGCAGGGACGTAGAGTGTGGTGGCATGGAGCCCGGGGTGATGCCCCCGATGTCAGCGTGGTGCCCACGGCTGGCCACATAGAACACAGGCCGCGTTTGGCCTGGCCAGAACACCTGCAGGTGCACGGCATCGGTCAGCCCCGCAGCCTCCGAGGCTCTCCCAGGGGGTGTCCCAGCTCGCCTGGCAGGGGGCGTGCGCCGCTCACCGGGGTGATGACCGTGAGGTCCGGCAGATGGCTACCGCCTGCGCTTGGGTGGTTGCTCAGAAGCACGTCCCCGGGGTGCAGATCAGCCCCCAAGTGCTGGATCTGAAACCGGGCACAGGGAGGGGGCTGTGAGGGGCCGCAGGGGGCGGGGCCTGTGTGCACGGGGGCGTGGCTGGGGAGGCACACCTGGAACTGCACCGTCTCCTGCATGGCGCCCAGGTGCACAGGGATGTGGGGGGCATTGGAGACCAGCCCCCCGTCCGGCCCAAAGAGGGCGCAGGAGAAGTCCAGCCTTTCCTTGATGTTGGTGGAGATGGCCGTGCGCTGCAGGATGCGCCCCATCTGCTCTGGGGGGCACAGAGGGACCTGGTGCCCGCCAGCCCTACCCGCCACGCAGCCTGGGGGCTTCAGGCCGGGCAGGGAGCGCACGTGCACAGACCTGCCTCCCGCACCCCGTCCCCGCCTGGCACACCGGCATCCGGCTCTTAGGCAGGAAAAGCCACGGCCTGCACCTGGGCCTGGACAGGGTCCCACGGCTCCCACCGAGAGCTGCCAGCCCCCGCCCCCGCGAGGGCCACGGGCAGTCGGGACTCACCAGCAATGCTCATGAAGCGGTGCGAGAAGATGGACAACTGGATGGGGTCCAGCTGGGTGCCCACCGTGCTCGGTGCCTCGGCCCCCACCGAGATGCGGATGTCCCCTTGCTCGGTCACCTCGGCCTGGCAGCCTGGCTCCACCAGGATGGTGCTGGGGACAGCAGCACCGAAGGGTCGTGTGGGGGCCAAGGAGCACGCCGAAGCCTCCAGACCCCTGTGCCCAGAGCCAAGAGCCCCAGCAGGGACAGCGGCCAGGCCCCAGCCCACCTGTTGCTGTCGATAATGAGGCACGGCCCGTGCAGCTTGTGCCCGCAGCCCAGCTCTCCCAGCAGGTACACGGGGGTCTCCTGGTAGCCCCCCTCGAAATAGCACTGGGTCATCTGCAGAAGACCCAGTCAGCGGAGGCTCCCGCTCAGCACGCTCCCCTGGGGTTGAGGTCCCTCTGTGTCCCAGGGCCACCAACCTTGTCCACTCGGGGCGGCCCGGTTTGGGCTTTGGGGACATCCTCAAGGCGAAGACCACTGCAGCCAGTGGCCCTCACCCGCACATCGTCCACCATCACCGGCCGCTCAGGGATGATGAATCCAAACTCCCTCATGTACCTGCCCAGTGGGGTGGGGGGCAGCTGTGGGCAGGGCAGACCACCCCCAGGGAGCGAGGGGGCAGCTGTGGGCAGGGCAGGGCAGGGCAGGGCAGACCACCCACAGGGAGCAAGGGGGCAGCTGTGGCCAGGGCAGGGCAAGGCAGACCCCCCCCAGGTAGCGATGGGGCAGCTGTGGCCAGGGCAGGGCAAGGCAGACCACCCCCAGGGAGCAAGGGGGCAGCTGTGGCCAGGGCAGGGCAGACCACCCCCAGGGAGCGAGGGGGCAGCTGTGGCCAGGGCAGGGCAGGGCAGACCACCCCCAGGGAGCGAGGGGGCAGCTGTGGGCAGGGCAGGGCAGACCACCCACAGGGAGCGAGGGGGCAGCTGTGGCCAGGGCAGGGCAGACCACCCCCAGGGAGCAAGGGGGCAGCTGTGGGCAGGGCAGGGCAGACCACCCCCAGGTAGCGAGGGGGCAGCTGTGGCCAGGGCAGGGCAGACCACCCCCAGGGAGTGAGGGGGCAGCTGTGGCCAGGGCAGGGCAGGGCAGACCACCCCCAGGGAGCAAGGGGGCAGCTGTGGCCAGGGCAGGGCAGACAACCCCCAGGGAGGAGCGAGGGGGCAGCTGTGGCCAGGGCAGGGCAGACCACCCCCAGGGAGCGAGGGGGTAGCTGTGGGCAGGGCATGGCAGACCACCCCCAGGGAGCAAGGGGGCAGCTGTGGCCAGGGCAAGGCAGACCACCCCCAGGGAGCGAGGGGGCAGCTGTGGCCAGGGCAGGGCAGGGCAGACCACCCCCAGGGAGCAAGGGGGCAGCTGTGGCCAGGGCAGGGCAGACAACCCCCAGGGAGCAAGGGGGCAGCTGTGGCCAGGGCAGGGAAGATCACCCACAGGGAATGAGGGGGCAGCTGTGGGCAGGTCAGGCCAGACCACCCCCAGGGAGCGAGGGGGCAGCTGTGGGCAGCTGTGGGCAGGGCAGACCACCCCCAGGGAGCAAGGGGGCAGCTGTGGCCAGGGCAGGGCAGACCACCCCCAGGGAGCGAGGGGGCAGCTGTGGGCAGGGCAGGGCAGACCACCCCCAGGGAGCAAGGGGGCAGCTGTGGGCAGGGCATGGCAGACCACCCCCAGGTAGCGAGGGGGCAGCTGTGGGCAGGGCAGGGCAAGGCAGACCACCCCCAGGGAGCAAGGGGGCAGCTGTGGGCAGGGCAGGGCAGACCACCCCCAGGGAGCAAGGGGGCAGCTGTGGGCAGGGCAGGGCAAGGCAGACCCCCCCCCAGGTAGCGAGGGGGCAGCTGTGGCCAGGGCAGGGCAAGGCAGACCACCCCCAGGGAGCAAGGGGGCAGCTGTGGGCAGGGCATGGCAGACCACCCCCAGGGAGCGAGGGGGCAGCTGTGGGCAGGGCAGGGCAGGGCAGACCACCCCCAGGGAGCAAGGGGGCAGCTGTGGCCAGGGCAGGGCAGGGCAGACCACCCCCAGGGAGCGAGGGGGCAGCTGTGGGCAGGGCAGGGCAGACCACCCCCAGGGAGCGAGAGGGCAGCTGTGGGCAGGGCAAGCCACCCCACAGGCCACGCGGACAGGGCAGTGTGGTACCTCTCCACAAAGGCTGCCCCAAAGTCGCCGGCGCGGGGAGAGTGGGCAGTGGCTGGGTGCTGGTGGGCGGTCACCATCAGGGCGCAGTCCGTGCCCTGATAACGCAAGTGCAGGAAGCCCTCCGTCCTGATCTGGGACCTAGGCAGGACAGAGCAGGAAGGGCTGGGGACAGCAACTCCACGACAGCGTGGTCTCGGTGCTGGCATGGAGCACACACAGTCCACTGGACACAGGACAGGAGGAGAGCTGGCCAGGCAGCCCACCTGGGGAAGCCCTGGGCCTGCAGAGCGTCCACACACTGCTCCTCCAGCTGGCTCAGCCGCTGGTCAAGCTGCGCGAAGGTGTCCGGCGTGTAGGGCAGGGAGCAGGGCTCCTGGGCCTCCTGAACAACATCAGCCAGGGCCAGCCCCACTGCCGACAGCAGCCCACTGTGCCTGCAGAGAGAGGGCACGTGGGGACCTGGGCACAGGGCTCGGAGGGGCACATGGGCATGGGGCCATGTGGAGTACATGGGCGGCGGGTTGGGGAGGGGCACGTGGGCACGGGGCCAGGGTGGGGGCAGGCTCTCCCTGACCTCCCACCTTTGCCCACCTGTGAATATGCACGGTGTCCATGCCCAAGGCCCGGGCGATGGCGCAGGCGTGCTGTCCTCCAGCTCCCCCAAAGCAAGCCAGCACGTGGGCCGAGGGGTCGTGACCTCGCGCCTGCAGAGCCAGCAGGATCAGTGGTCATCTCTCCTGCTCCAGCCAGCCACTGGACTCTGCCCACCCCCACCCCCTAGGTAGGCTGACCCGGCAGGCACAGGCTCACCTGCGTGAGTGCACGGATGGGCCGGCACATGGCCTCGTTGGCCACACGCACGAACCCCATGGCCACCTCCTCCAGGCTCAACGGGGAGGCCGGGCAAGGCCCTTGGGTGAGGAAGCTGTTGACCTCGGCGGCCACGGCAGCCAGGGCCTTGCGGGAGGCCTCGGGCGACAGGGGCTGGTCCTCTCCCGGGCCAAAGATGCAGGGGAAGGAGGCAGGCAGCAGGCGCCCCAGCACCAAGTTGGCGTCCGTCAGTGTCACGGGGCCCCCTGGAGTGGACACAGTGTGTGGGGCGCCAGGTGGAGGGCGGGGTGCGTGGCACAGCCAGGATGGGGGCGGTGGCAGCTCTCACCTTTGCGGTAGCAGGCAGGGCCCGGGTGGGCGCCCGCGGACTCGGGCCCCACGACAAAGAGGCCAGACCTTAAGAAAAGGACTGGTGTTGGAGGTGACAGATCGGGGGTAGGCAGGGAACTCAGGAGCACCCCGGAATCAAGGAGCACCAAGGAGCCCCGGAGCACCCGGGAGCACCAAGGAGCACCAAGGAGCACCAAGGAGCCCCGGAGCACCAAGGAGCCCAGGAGCACCAAGGAGCACCAGCCCAGGAGCACCAGCCCAGGAGCGCCCGGGAGCACCAAGGAGCCCAGGAGCACCAAGGAGCCCGGGAGCACCAAGGAGCCCAGGAGCACCCGGGAGCTGACCTGAAGAAGAGGCGCGAGCCCCCACCGGCCGCCACTGTGTTGATGTCCAGCTGGGGCGCCTGAAGGGTGACTCCCGCAACACTCGCCTCAAACACGTGCTCAAACTCCCCGGCGTAGCGGCTCACGTCCGTGGATGTGCCTGTGGCGTGACAGGCACGGGTGCTAGAGCAGCCCCGAGGATGCCCCTACCCGCCCACACACCCAGCCACCTCCGGGGCCGCCTCAGGCATCCGTACCTCCCATGTCGAAGCCGATGACCGGCTGGCCACCCTCCAGCTGGTAGGTAGTGGCCGCATAGCCAACCACACCGCCAGCAGGGCCAGAGAGCACGGCCTGGGAGCCGCTGAAGGCATCCACGGGTGCCAGGCCACCATCGGAGCGCATGAACAGCACCTGTACGTCCTGCGGTGGGGCGGGGAGGGGCTCAGCGGGCGGCCACGAGCGCCTGGCAGGTACTTGAGGCAAGGGGGACGGGAAGCCCTAGGCCCCTCACCTTCAGCTGGCCCTGGAACCCACGGCGGAAGCCCTGCACATAGCGCTCGATGGCAGGCGTGAGGTAGGCGTCGGCGCAGGCCGTGTGCCCACGGGGCACAATGCGCACCATGGGCATGGTCTCCGAGGAGAGCGACACGTGCAGGAAGCCCAGCTCCCGGGCCAGCATGCCCACCTGCTGCTCGTGCTGGGCCCACCTAGGGCGAGAACCCAGGTGTGTTGGGGGGCTGTGCCCGTCCAGTGTCCATGCACCCTCCAGCAGCCCACAGGCCCCGCTCACGTGTAGGAGTGCATGAGCACCACGGCCAGGCTGCGGATGCCGCGAGACAGGAGCCCCTCCAGCTTCCCACGCAGCGCCACCAGGTCCACCGGCTGCTGTACCTCCAGCAGGTCTCCTGTGCGGCCTGCAGGAGGACCCACGCCACCAGTCCAGGTCTCCTGTGCGGCCTGCAGGAGACCCACGCCACCAGCCCAGGTCTCCTGTGCGGCCTGCAGGAGGACCCACGCCAGCCCAGGTCTCCTGTGCGGCCTGCAGGACCCACGCCAGCCCAGGTCTCCTGTGCAGCCCACCTGCCACACACCCACCCCAGCACCCCTGCACACACCTTTCACAGGTGTCCCAGTGCCTGGCTCTCCACGGTACAGCACCAAACGCTCATCCACCTCCACAACCTCCTCGTACAACACCTCGGGCATGGGCACGGCCTGGGGGCAGGCAGGGGCTCAGGGAGGGGCAGGCAGGTACAACACAGCAAGTATGGGCACGGCCTGGGGGCAGGCAGGGGCCCAGGGAGGGGCAGGCAGGTACAACACAGCAAGTATGGGCACGGCCTGGGGGCAGGCAGGGGCTCAGGGAGGGGCAGGCAGGTACAACACAGCAAGTATGGGCACGGCCTGGGGGCAGGCAGGGGCTCAGGGGAGGCACAGCCAGTCCAAGGTCCAGCACAGGCAGGGGCGGCTCTGCCTCCAGGCACCTGAGTACAACCAAAAACCCTGCCCCCACGAGCCAACCCGGGACAGCAGAGGGTGGCAGGCAGGACCGCATGTGCCCTCAAGGACTGGGGGGCGCGGAGGAAGGGTCCCCGAGGAGTTGGGAGCCAGCACCTGGAAGGGGACTCACCAGATCGAAGAGTTTCACGCGGGCTTGGGTGCCAATGTGCAGCAGGTCCTTGAAGCCGCGGGTCACCAGCAGGGCCACCCGCTCCCCACGCCGTTCCAGCAGTGCGTTGGTGGCCACCGTGGTCCCCATGCGGATGCTGGCGATGCGACTGGTGTCCAGTGGCCGGTCCCGGGGCAGCAGCGTACCGCTCTCCTGCAAACTGCTGGGTCAGCACGAGGCCTGTGGCCGGCCAGGGCCCCCCCACCCCTGGCTCTGCGCACCCCTCAGGCTCTGTGGCTGCACCTGCTCCAGGATGCGACGGATGCCCTCAGTGGGGGCATCTGCATAGTTGGCGGGGTCTTCTGAGAGCAGCTTCAGGACCCGCACGTGCCCACCGGGGCACTGGGCAAAGACATCGGTGAAGGTCCCTCCCCGGTCGATAGCAAAATGAAAGCGGCCTTCGGGGGCGCCCATGGTGGGGGCGCTGGAGTCCGGCACTGGTTCTTCAGCTGGCAGCCCTGGGTGAACTGGATAGAGTGGTTGGGTGAGCGCCTGTGCGCGCAGGCATGCAGGCTCTCCTCTGCTGTAGCCCTGGGCGGGAATGGGAAACGGGAGGGAACCTGGGAGGGCCCACGGGAGCCAGTGCGCACTGGGAGGGCAGCTGGGACTGGACAGGCCAGGCAGAGAACAGAAGGGCGCCCAGTGCCCTGCTGGGGGCAGGAGCCGAGATCCTCTGCCCAGTGGGTCGGAGTTCTCTTGGCACCAAACAGCACGCGACAAGCCAGGGCAGGTGAGGGGACCCCACTGCCCACCTTGCTCGCTCTTTCCTGCTGGCCCAGGCCTAGTGAGGCTCTGGGACGAGGCGGGCAGAGGCCCGGGGGTGGTGAGGAGCTGGTCCAGGCGGGAGAAAGGAAGAGGCGGCAGAGAGGAGAGAGCCCAGAGCGCTACCCACCTGCCTGCTCCGCTCCGGGTCGCTCACTGGCCCGGGTGCGCTCCCCGTCGGCCCGACCCTCGCCGGCGTCCGTCCCGGGGAGGGGCCTGCGGGGCCCGCCCCCAGGACGAGGCCGGAGCGCGCCACCCCCGCGGCTGCGTCAGGCCGGCCTGTTCCTGGGCGGGCCCGGCGCGGGCAGGTCACCTTGGCTCTGCGGGCCGCCGGGTCCCGCGCCGGGCGAGCGCGTCCTGCCGACGGCCTGAGCTCCAGAGAGCGGCCGGGGCGCGCGGGGCGGCCGGGGGCGGAAGGGCGGCGCTCGGGCCGCGTGCGCTGGAGAGGGCCCTCGCCCGCCCGGTGCGCGCTGGAGAGGACCCTCGCCCGCCCGGTGCGCGCTGGAGAGGGCCCTCGCCCGCCCGGTACGCGCTGGAGAGGGCCCTCGCCCGCCCGGTGCGCGCTGGAGAGGGCCCTCGCCCGCCCGGTGCGCGCTGGAGAGGGCCCCTTGCTGCCACCCTATGGCCGCCCCTCACCGCAAGCACGCGGGGCTGACGTCCCCACCCATTCCTGTGCCCTGCACAGCTCAGCCGTGGAGGAGGACGTGCCCGCAGGGCTTCAGCAGCGTAAAGCCGGATCCTCCCCCTCCTGGCCCTGGACACGCGCCAGGCCAGCTAGCCCGCAGATGGAGACTTGACCTAGGAGGTCTCGGCTCATCCTGCGGGCTTGGGGAGGTGGGCGGCTGGTGCACTGGCCAGTGGCCCGGGGGAGGAACTGCAGCCGTCACTGGAAGTCTGCCAGGCCTAGGAGGCTGAGGGCATGTGGGAGGCAGGCTCCTCCACGGGGCTCCCCGTCCAGCTCGCCAGCAGCGACCTCCCTCCCGGGGCCTGCTACAGTGCTTTCCCAGGACTCCCTGCCGCTGTCCCCACCGCCCCGGGCCAGCCAGGAACCCGACAACCACAGCCTAGCTCAGGGGTAGGAACCCCACTCCTGCCTGCTCTGAACTGCTTCTGGAGGGGCAGCACTGATGAGCGACCCCGGCCTTACACCCCAGCACAATGGCTGACTCCTACCTCTCCCACCCAAACTCCCTGCCTCGGCCCCGCGCACATGCACCCCCGCTGCCTGCCGGCATGTCTTCAACTGGCCAGCTCACCAGCCCAGGCTGGCAGGGACCTGCCCCCAGCGGCCCACTCCGCGCCTCAGCCCCTGGCCAGGAGCACCAGAGCCCTCCCACACACACACACCAGCCACTCTACCTGCTCATGGCCCTCCTGGCTCACCTCGGTCAGCATCCTTGAACTTGATGGTCCTGCGGCGGGGCGCCCGGGGGCTGACGGCCACCTCGGCCAGGAAGTTGGGGCCACAGAAGCCCAGGCTGCTGCGGCCGTGCAGGGCCAGTTTCAGCTCGTGGTTCTCCTGGAGCAGCTGCACCAGCCTGCGTAGCTCCTGGTTCTCCTGCGCCAGCCGCTGGATCTCTTGCCGCAGGCCCTCATAGCTGCTCAGGAGGGACATGCCCGGTGGCCGGGCAGCGGGGCGGCAGTTGGCGGAGCCATGGGCTGCGAGGGACCCAGACCCAGTCATTGTGAGGTCAGGGCCGTCCCAGCCCCCACGCCTCGGCCACATTCCGGGGCCCGGCACGGACCCCTGTGTGTCCCTGCCGCCTGCAGTGGGCCTCGCCTGCTCCCCTCAGCAGGAGTTGGGCCTGAGAGTCACATGGGCAGCCATCACTCACGCCTGGCCAGTGCCAGCCTAGGCCAGGTGCCTGCAGGGGCAGCGAGATGGAACCCCACAGCCCAGTGCCCACGTGCCTGAGCCTCCCGCCCTTCGTGTCAGGCTGTGCGTCGAGGTGTCTGGCATATTATGTTCATATTTCATACGCCCTACAGCCTCTGCAGTCAGACCCAGATGCTCCCCGAGAAATATTTTCAGAAATGGAGCCTTCTTCTTTAAGGCCATATCAGTCAGCAGGTGAGCAGGTGTTGTACCCAGATTTTGCAATCCCCGGAAACTCATCAGGAGTCACAAGTTGATGCAAACGCAGAGAAGCAGTTTATTCAGACTAGGCTGCCAGCCGCCGGCCCGCAGGGCTCAGAGGGGAGGGCGGTGCAGCAGGAACAGCGGGCAGAACTGAAGAGCGAGGTCGGACAGCCCAGGGTTCATCTCAGGCCAGTTCCATATAATTATAGTCATGATTGGTCATTTTAACTTTTTTTAGAGATTTATATTTATTTTATTGCAAAGTCAGATATACAGAGAGGAGAGAAAGAGAGGAAGATCTTCCGTCCGATGATTCACTCCCCAAGTGGCCGCAACAGCCGGTGCTGTGCTGATCCGCAGCCAGGAGCCAGGAACCTCCTCCAGGTCTCCCACGAGGATGCAAGGTCCCAGGACTTTGGGCCGTCCTCAACTGCTTTCCCAGGCCACAGGCAGGGAGCTGGATGGGAAGTGGGGCTGCCAGGATTAGAACCGGTACTCATATGGGATCCTGGCGCATTCAAGGTGAGGACTTTAGCCGCAAGGCCCCAGCGCCGGGCCCATGATCAGTCAGTTTAACTGTTAACTTTTTTAAAAAGAGCAAGTTGGCAGGCTTCTATTGGTGGCTTTGAGGCAAACAACTTTCAAAAAATATAAACTGGTAGGCTACAGGGCATTGCTGGGCTTCTCTAACAAGCACACCGGGGGTCTCCCTCCTGAGGAGTGGTCTGCCACGTGACCTGCCAGGCCTGGAGGTCACACAGCCCCAGCCAAGCCGGCAAGGCCGGATCACAAACGCACTGATTTGTCGACCTCCATGTGCAATCAGTGTAAACTCGGCTCAAGGGAAGCATGGGAGGACAGCCTGCAGCCGAGTGTCCCTCAGAGTGTGGGCGGCAGCCCCGCCCGGTCACCAGCCGCACCCTTCAGCAAAGTGTCGCATGCTTTCAAAGTCCCAGGGCGAAGCAAAGCCCGACAGCGATGGAATATGGACGAAGCAGGAAAGCTGAATGTCTGCAGTTCCGTTAATGCGGCCAGGTTGCTCCCTGCATGTCTCTTAGGAATGTTGCATCATGCTGAGGGGGCTGGAACACAGGTCTGCAGTGTAATGGATGCATTTCACGGCAACCACCATATTCTCTCAAGGTTTTGGTTCGAACTGGCCTATCATGGTGACTTTTCATTTGATAATTTCTAGTTGGCCATGCCATCACCAAGCTTGGTTATTAAAAATTCCTAAAGGGGTCTGGCGGCATGGCCTAGCGGCTAAAGTCCTCGTCTTGAACGTGCTGGAATCCCATATGAGCACCGGTTCTAATCCTAGCAGCCCCACTTCCCATCCAGCTCCCTGCTTGTGGCCTGGGAAAGCAGTGGAGGACGACCCAAGGTCTTGGGACCCTGCACCCCGGTGGGAGACCTGGAGAAGTTCCTGGCTCCTGGCTCCAGATCAGCACAGCACCAGCCTTTGTGGTCACTGGGGGAGTGAATCACTGGAGGGAAGATCTTCCTCTCTGTCTCTCCTCCTCTCTGTATATCTCACTTTGCAATAAAAATAAATAAATAAATGTAGGAGGGCATTGTGACCCTAGAAGGTCAGCGAGCACAGGATTACGGTTGATTGGATAATATTTGCGTGAGAACAGCCGAATGGCCACTTTCTGTGTGACTGATTGGACTGCATGTGTGTGAGAACAGTTGATAGAATATACAAAACAAAAGGCATTCCAAACAAGAGTATGGAAGCAGCTGATGGGTTTGTTGATAAGCTCAACACCTCCTCCCTCATCCCACACGACCCTCAGTGTATAAGTCTGATGCTACTAATAAACTTCGGCTATTGACCATCAGTCAGGGTCCACGCGTGTTACTATCGGCTCCATTCCCCAAGTCCATCGCTGCGGGACAGCCACAAATAAAATTCTAAAAAATTCTTAACAAATCCTAGGATGGTCAGCATTTTACTTGCAACAGTTTGGAGGCTTCAGACTCCAACACCTTCTGGTGTTCTGGAGGACCAGGGTAGATGTGGGATGGACGAGGCTAGGTCTCAACCCCAACTGAGCCATGTGTGAGCTATATGTGTGTATGGACAAGCCATGGCTGGGCTGAAACATCCAACAGCAAGAACCAGTTTGGGTTGAAGGCCAGTCAGGAAAAGCCACTGTTCCCACTAGGACAGGAGGCAAACTGAGTAGGGCTGGCTCGTGGACCCCCTGTTATGCGCGAAATCTGGTATTGGGGGAGGTTCTGGTGGAGGAGCCTGGACAACTCCTCTGGCAGAACACAGAGCCCGCAGGTAAGTGCAAGAAGCATGATGGGAAACAGCCCACAACAGGCCATGGGAAGTTACCCACTGGCATATATTTGCCATGGGTCGGGGGCAGACCAGGCTGAATCAGTTCACGTCATCCACTGGCAAATCCAGGCACCAGAACAGTGTGGGTTGAGCCAGGTTCAGGTTCAGTCCCAACAAAAACCAGTCCACAATACGGAATGCCAAGGTGAGGTTGCCTGTACTGGATGTGACTGCAGCACCCAACCAGCACACCTGAGAACCAGGAAGGGAGGGGCAGAGCCAGCAGGGGAATAAGGGGGGGGGTTCCCTTGCTGGACAGCTACTCCCACTGGAGAGCGTGAGCTGGGATGGGGGCAGACCAGACTGGGCAGGGCTACAACGGCTGTGCGCCTCCTGTGGACTAGATCAGGGAAAAGCCAGGCTGGGCTAATTACTCCTACTGGTGCAAGCATAAATTAGGGTGGGTGAGTCCTGGTGTCCGTGCAGTAGGTGTTAATGACATGAAGGTGTGAAGAGAACAGCTCCCCTGCTTGGCAGGGCCTGGGGGAGCTCACAGCTGTTTGGCAGGGCCGGGCGGATTTCTCTCTGACTACCTTGACGCAGTCTCACCCCGTTTGCATGGACACTCAACCACCCCACTAAGAATTCTGCAATCTATTAGGCATAGTTTGCCCCTGTGAGATGGCTTTTACAACCAGCATGAGCTTAAGAGTTAATGTTACTGATAATGTCTTGGTGAGTGGGCCTTTAACTGCGCACAGGAATACAGTTAAGCCCATGCTGTTTCCAGACACCTTATTGTGTGCCTAACCATTGCTCAGAGATCTG